TGCTACCGGGACTCTAGGACCAGCACCAGACACACGCGCCAAAGTGACCGGGCGGGGCGGGGCGCCGGGGCCGGGGGTGCCGCGACGTGCATGCTAAGCTCGGGCGACACCTTTCCCTGATGCTCCCGCTACCGGCGCTCAACGGGGATCGCCGTCATGGAGGTATGGGGGGCTCCGCGTCGAGGCGTGGTGGACGGGGAGGGGTTCGGGGGGGATTCGGGCTGAAGGGGGAGGGGGGCGAGGGCGGGGAGGCTCACCGGTCACTCTTCCTTTCCGCGCGTGTGTGTCTGTGAGCCCCCGAATCAATCCCCCACCTGTCAGACCAAAGCCTTTCCCCGCCGACGACGACGACGGCGCGCTCCCTTCCCCCGCGGCGGCTATCCCCTCCCCGAAGACGGCGCCCCCGGACCCGCCCCCCGGCGGCGGCGGCCTGGAGGAGCACCGCGCCAGGGACGGCCCCGGGGCTGCCGGAGGGTCGACGCGATAAAACGAGCTTGCCAGGAGGTGTGGCCTTCACTGCGGCCCGTGCCTCTCCCTCGTAAGCCACACACCGCAGAGTGTGTCCTCGCACCGCCATGCCCTCCTCGTCGACGCGATCCTGGCGGCTGCCGACGCCCCTCGTGCTGTTGGCATGCTCGTGGCTGCTCGCGGCGGCGGCCGCGAGCGGCGTCTCCGCAGAAGACGTGGCCGACAACCAGGTGTTTGGTGATGGCGATGGCGGGCTGTTCGGCAAACCCAGAAAGATCCGCTCCGGCGAGGAGCTTCTGTCAGCCATCGTGAGCGACTGCCTGGGCGGCGCGCTGCCCACCATGTCCTGCCTCCGCGTCAAGGTGCTCAGCTACCTGGATACAGTCGTCGGTTCGGACGCCGCGCCCGGCGCCGAGGTCGTGTCGGCCCGCTCCCTCGAGGACGGCACCGGCAACGCCAGGCTGGACAAGATGATCGTGTCCCGCCTCAGCCGCTACTTCAAGTCGCACGAGTTCAAGGTGAACCTGCCCACGATGCTCTTCGAGGAGGGCGGCGTGCTCAGCTTCCGGCCCGCGCAGGGCATCGACGGCCTGCAGATGAGCTTCCCGTCAGACCACGAGGAGGGAGAGGGGCAAGGACGCGCCCTCCTGTCTCAAGGTACGAAAAAGAAAAGTAAGTTGGCTGCCCTGGCGGCGAGGGGAACGCCGCATGTGTGTCAGTGTCTAGGCCAGGACTAGGACAGAGTGCTTCTCGCTTTGCGTCGTCGACTGGAATGGGGCGCATCTCCAGACGGAGAAGCAAAAGAAATCCGACGACTTGAAAAATATCGGACACCATTTTCAGTTCTGATAAAACAGATGTAGACAGCCATTACCAATTAATTCGCATTCGTCCCTGTTTTTTTCTGCGCACGACGCGCTCTGTGGCACCCAACTTTTTCGCCCCGCCCACCTCTATTTGGCGAACGTCAGCCCTACTGGGCGGGGCCGGGGGTTGACTGGGGGAGGGGCAGGAGGGGGGAGGGGTGGTCAGGAGGAAGGGCCTCGCTCCCTGTCAATTATTTTCTGCTGGACGCGCGCCCGGCGCTGTACAATTACAATTAGGGTGGCGTGTGCGAAAAGCAAAACCAGCTGAGAGGTCAAACCGCAAACGTTGCGGAATTACAGATAGCAGACTCTAACACTGACTAAAGGGTGGGCGTCGCGCCGCGGCTCTTTGATCGACCAGCGCGGTTAAATTGGCTTTCTCTGATCGGGCCAACGCGCCTCGTCGCTCATCAAATAGTAACGGCGAGGACGGAACGGGCGGAGTTCACAGCTTCTCGGGTCCTTGGAGAGACAAAATGCGCTTTGGCGAGAAAGGAGGCCAGCCCGGGGCAATTGCTCAGCGGCTCGCAAAATGAAATCGTCGTCTTATCGAAGGCGAGGGTTGTGTGAGGAGGGTTCGGCACGGTACGGAGCCCTCAGATGTTCCTTCCTGTCCTGTGGGTCAGCCACTGAGACCGAGGGCAGCGGGTGTGTCGGAGGGGCACACCGGGGACCATGATCATCCAACCCCGAGTGCGAGACGAGAAGCACCCTGAGTCATTCCCCGGGGCCCTGCCCGCCCTGCCCACGCTCACCGACACTGACGACTCCCCCTGTCTTGTTCCAGAGCGCGGCCTGCTGCTGAAAAAGAAGCTGCTGCTGCCGGCACTTGTGCTCATGAAGCTCAAGATGAAGGCCCTGCAGCCCATCTTCATGGCGCTCATCGGCGTCAAGGCCCTGAAGGCGCTCATCATGTCCAAGCTGGCGCTGACGCTGGTGCTCGGCTTCCTGCTCGTGCAGCTGCTCAAGAAGTTCGGCATGATGGCTCCGATGGGCATGGGCATGGACGCGACCACGACCATGGCCCCCATGACGGCCTACGGCCCCCCGGCGCCCGTGCCCAGCTACGGCCCTCCCCCGCCCACCTACGGGCCGCCCCAGCCTTCGTACGGCCCGCCGACCAACTCGTACGGCCCGCCCACCAACTCGTACGGACCTCCGGCCTCGGGTCCGGCTTCTCCCTCGCCAGCCTCGTCGTCGCCCTCGTCGTACGAGCCGTCGTGGACCCCCTCCGACTCGGCGGGCTCCGCTAGCGGACCCTACGCCCGAGTCTGGGACGCCCACAGCCTGGCCTACAGCTCGTACCAGCCACAACGAGATGCCTCTCCCACAGGACCAGGGGCGTCATCGGGGTCCTCGACCTCCTCGTCAAGCACTGTCACAGCCACACAATATTAGAGGGACGACAATATGCGAGGCTCAAGGACTTAGACCTTATATGTGAAAGACTGGGTAGCGCGGGTATCGGCTACCTCTGACAAGACGACACTGCCCCAAGCTTGTAGCAGGGCAACCCGACATTCTAGTCAGTGACCATTGACCTAAACATGAACTCGACAGCAGCCGGGCAACATGGCCTTGCCATATCACTTGACAGATTGACGAAAATTGACACTGACTAACTCACAACAAGTGATTATGTTTCCAAAACTGCTACCTAAATTTACAACAGTACCCAACTGTACCAATGTGCCTACTAACACAGCAAGAGCTGGCCTTTTTCAATCTTA